GACTTTTTGGCCCATCTAACAGTCTCTGCCTTCTGAATTCATCCACTTGAATACATTTTATTCCTCCCATCTTAAATACAGTCTCCTTTTCTTTCTTCCTTTTGCTGAAATAGGCAGCTTCCCTCCTTGACAATTTGCCCTTCTTCTGTTCTTCCCATTCATTCCTATCTGTTCGTTTTTCTTTACACACAGCCGAGAAGTCCTACTGTGCTTTAAAGTTCTGTTTGTGGTTACATTTCTCCTGAGATACCTTTAAATACACACATCCTAGCAAAAGAAATCAACCCATGTATATAATGTGCATTTTTAAAACGCACCACCATGTAGTAAGCATTGCTACCTGCTTACCTCCCTCAACCCCAAACAGAATGGAAATTTTAGTTCTAGGTTACTACTAAGCTTTCCTTTCCAAGATGACTCTTTCAAGAATCCCTACTTAGCATTTATATTACAAAGTCCTAGTCACATCATTATTATCTATTTAATTTTAATAATACATATATTGCAAGATTCATTGCTCCCATTATTTGTCTCCTTTTTGTCTTTTCCTGTCTTGGGATTTCTGTTCTGAATCAATTGTCACTTGATAGAGTATTTCCTCAAGTGTTTTCCTCAGATAAGTACATGGGCAGAATACGTTTTAAATGCTTATACTTCTGAAGATGTTTAGTTTGCCTGACAAATGGTATCTTTTCTGGTTATTAATTTTTGGACCGTGAACATTTTCCCTCAGGATTCCACAAATGTTGTGCCAGTATTTTAACTTTGAATGTTGCCCATAAAAAGTTTGAAGCAAATTGATTCTCTCCATTGCATATTACCTATCCTGTGGATCTCCAAACTTTAAGATTGTCCTTTTCCTTGAACTTCGGGAATTTTATCAACCTGTGTCTACCACACATACTTTACTACATTAATCCTGCAAGGACTCAGGGAGCCTAGTGCTGCTGTGTTTGTTTCTTTTCTACCTCCAGAACTCAGTTTATCTCATTCTATCACTTCTGCATCGACCTCCTGAATTTATCTTTAGGTAATTCTGTTCTGTGTTACAAAACAATTCTGGAGCAACCATATCAACTTAAGAAATCACATAAGCAGCCCTTCCTGGTGGCGCAGCGGGTTAAAGCACAGCACTGAGAAGCTAAAACCACTTCCGCATGAGTTCAATCCCCGCCTGCCCCGGAGGTGACCACATGGCCTGGCAGACCTCTCCTGACCCGCCCGCTGCTCCCCTCAGCAGTGTACTTCATTGATCTGCCTGTTCTGCTCCCCACTCTGAAGCCTCTCACCACCCCTGAGCCTCTGGCCTGTACCCCAGTTCTGTATACACAAATAAATAAATCTTTAAAAAAAAAAAAAAGAAATCACATAATCATGTTCTTCATGTTTAATTTGTTTAATCAAAATTAAATTTGTTCAGTTACAGAAGATATTTTTGGTTTTGGTTTTGATCATTGAATTGCTTCACATTGAAAATTTTCCTTTTTTAATTCATAATTTCCAGACTAGTGAGAGTAAATAATATTATTGTTGTATGTATCTAGCTCCTCCCCTTGTCCTTCTAGGCCCTCTTCAGTGAGGTATTATTTTTCTCTTCCTGCTAACGGTGTATGCTCCCTCAGCAACTACGGGCCAGATCATAACAGTTTCCCCAACTGTAGTAAACCAGTGAGTGATGGAAGGAATAAGCCTTTCCCTTCTGGAGGTCGGAACATGAAGTCTTCAAATCATGACCTCTTCCCTAAAGTAGAGGATAGAGCCTGTCTGTAGCCAAACCTCCAGAGAAGCCTTAGTTAAAGTGATGGATCAATCAGGGCAGCTATGAAGGAGTCTTCCAGATCCCTGGGCAAATCAGAAAGATCCTGTCAGAATGACCCAAAACAGTCAGGCACATATGGCCCTTCCTTGAGGAAACACTACATTCAACAAAACTCTTTGAACAAATATACAATGCTGACCTGTAAGCAAGGAGCAAGGAGAATAAATCTGTCCCCTACCACTTTTCTTTAGTGAATGAGTTCCAGTAATTTCCCTTCTTCCTTCAACCCCCAGCCCTGGTCTAAGATAGACCCACCCCCCCCACCCCACCCCACCCCTGGCTTTACCAACTAATGTGCTTGAGCTATTATAAACACTGAAAGAGGAGTTTGAAAGTAGAAGTCTCGGATGTTACCTTAGACTGCCATTTCCCCAAAATTCACTACCTCTTTATTTTAAAAAAAAAAATAAGCAGTCTTCGGTGAGACACTGCATTATATTTCTGCAGTGATTCTCATGACAAAAAGCTAAAATAAATTTAATTACTTCAATTGCTTTCACAGATATTTGCAAAAGCACAAAATATATGTGGAAATCCATTGATTCAGTCTACAAACACTAGGTCTACTTATGGAGATATTAAACTATCACTATAACTGCCACATCCACTGGAAATCATCGGTATGCATGAAAGCCTTAAACAGCCCTACTAATTCATAGGCTAAAATCAGACATGATGTGGTAAAGGACTGTGGGTACCTCGGTGGTGAGGATGGTGTAGTATATTTATCTGAGGAGGTGTAAAGCTATCCCCTTAAATCACATATAGTGTTGTAAACCAACATTACCTCAATAAAATTAATTTTTAACAAACCAGTTATCATTTAAGAGGCACTCTAACTTCCTATTTCATTTGATGACATAATTTAAAAGCTAAATATAAAAAGCTAAGCATCATATGTGCTTATGTAACATTTTTATATATTCTCAAAATTTTACACTTGCTAATAATAAAATTAGACAATTGCCTCTCCAGTAAATTATATGCACTCTCTTTGATACCTAAAAATCTCTTAATTCCTTTCCCACTAAAAACAATAATGATAAATAAATAATATAAAGTTGGCCACGAATCCCTAAGGACATTTGCTCACATAATCCTTCATCCCTCCCACCTACAAATATTGTCCAGCATCTTCCTCATCTCTACTCTTTTTCATGTTGCAGGGTCATCCTGCCTAATTAGGCCCAGCCCCCAAAATAACCCTCTCATTTAATATTTTCTGCCTATAATGTAAATCTTCATGGAGTTACATTAAGTATTCTTTGTCTCTCCCACTGAACTATAAGTTCTGTGAGAGCAAAAAGTTGATCTTTATTACTGTATCTACAAGATGATATGTTAAGTACTTAATTCAAATTTGTTAAAGGAAAGAATACTGTTCAAGCAGGCTTTGAGTTGATGAACAACACTGTTGTCTTTTTAATTACTTTAACTGCCTACAGGGAAGACACTGACTCTCTAATTTGACTCAGGAACCAACAAATCTTATACCACAGCCAATCAGTTGGCAAACTCTTTATCTCCTGGGCTCCAGTAGGCATTTGAGTTTGTAACTCTTGCTTTAGAACATAGTTTAAGTCTCATGTTCTAAGTGAAACTTTCTCCAAGTGTTCCAGCCCCTTCATGATCTTCCTTCATCTCTGTTTGTGTTACCACCATCTACTCATCATCAGAAATGACCTCTCCAACTCCTCTTTTTCCTTTTCCTCCCCCTTCCTCCTTTTCCTTCATCAACTCTTCCTTTTTCTAATTTTCTCCCCCTCCTCCTTCCTCTTCTTTTCTTCCCATTCCTCCTCTTGTTCTTCCTTCTGTTTCTCCTCCTGCTTCTACTATATGGTTCTCGCTCTTTGCAGGTATGTCAAATGATCACAATACCTGACACAGTGAGCACACATTAAATGCTTTCTGAATAAACAAATAAAATAAAAATGAAAACTAGTTTATGTTCTTTTTCCCTAGCTGGACTCTAAACCCCTTAAGGACTCTGTCTTGCCATAAACCTCTTTGTAGTCATTGTTACTTATAGTTGTATATTTTAAAACAGAAGTTTATTGACTTAGAGGTAAAGGCAAAGATGGTGTTGATATAATATTATGATTGGTGTTTGTGTTCACGAGAAATCAATTTTTAAAAGCTCAGGTTTATGCTTCCTGACTTAAAAATACAATCCCAAATCAAGTTAAATCTTGCCTCTGATCCCAACTGCCTCTAAGTCATTGTCTCAGCAGCTAAACTCAGATGCCAATGGTCAATCATTTGGTGACCATTCTTGCTATCCTCAGGCTCTTCCCTCATTGCTTAATTTCAGCATGCCTGAGTTGCTCCCCAATAGCCTCCCTCTGCCCAATCACTAGGCTCTTCATCTAGGTCTCCAGACTCTGCTTCCTGATCTCTGGCTACCATAGCCACAGCCCACGTCATTACTCCGTCCAACTGTGGTTAGGAAAGAGCATCCTGAGATGCCTTCACCTTCTAAACCCCATTTTCTCTGTGTGTGTTACTGTAAATACACTGGTCTTGTATGTACTCTGACTACACTTTTGTCTATGTCATCTCCCTGGCTTAGATCCCTACATAATAGTTGATCATCTGACTTCACCTCTACCGCTTGTGTGTTTCAACAAGCACACACACCAATCTCAGAAACATCTTTATGATCTGTGGCTGGTCTGCCCCTTCTTTCAGGTCTAACATGGTTGAAATATTCTGATTTCATGGGATCATCATACCTTCCTTTAGGCAGTGACCAGCTTCACAAACCTTTCACTTCATCTCTTGGCATCTTCTAAGCCCCACTGTCCTAAATCATCTCTTGAGTTAAGACTCCTTGGGTCTGCCTGTAATTTTTCCCTTGTAGTCACACTTGACAAGAAGCTACACAGATTACAGCACTATGTGTCATTGATATTCCTGGGTTTTGAAACAAATTTGTTGTGTGTGGCAATATGCAATGCTTGTAAAATATACAAATGCTATTTTGAAACATCAAAAAGTTGTCAAAAAGTTCTACAACCGATTGCTATTAAGTCATATTTATATTTTTAAATTTATTTTGATGCAAACTACTTGGGAGTTGAAATTTTAAAAGTACTGTAATTATTGCAGTTAAAAGTAGTTTATTTCTAAATAATTACTGCACCTTAATTTTATCATAATAGACACAACAGGAGATAGATACCTTTGTTATATAGAAGACACAGCAAGCTACCATGTGCTGTATACTTTCAAAACTCGCCATGTGTTTCTTTGAGTGGACAACATTTGAAAGTCCTTGCAAAGCCACTATGCATTTGATCAAGATCTGGAAAACAAGCAACGTGGTTTTTGTTAAAAACTACCATTCTTACTCATTATAAGATATTCTATTCCAATCATGCAAGTTTTGAACCACCAAATTTTACTTTTATAAATTATTATTGATAAACCACATGTGTAAAGGAGCATACACTCACATAAAATTGATATATTCAATTTTTAGATCCATCCCTTGAAAACTAGCAGAGAGAATAAAGTAAGTACACAAAGACTGGAATGCAAAGCCACATTTTGGCAAGGCTATAAACAATCTGGTAAAATAGAGGATGTATACCAGAAACCAAAGATTGCATCCAGGTTTAGGAGTGCCTACAGGTTGCTATCAATATAGTCAAATATGTTTTCTCTTTCTTCTTGTTTCTAAAGAGTTCTGTCTTGGTTAGAAGTGGTTCTCCTCACTCCAGATTGCATATGTAATCTCCTGGGGTTATTTGTCATATAAATTTTGCTTTGTTTTACATTGAAGTCATTAATAAGTTTGAAAATTTATATATAATACAAATAAAGGTCAAATCTACTTTCTCTAAGATGACTAACCCAGTGTTTCACCACCATTTCCTAAAAACATCCATTCCCTTCCCAATGAATTGGAATGGCACTTCTGTGATATACATGGGCTATTTCTGGAATCTCCCTCTGTTCCAATCATCTTTCCCTAGTCTAAATGATATAATTTAACTAGAAATTCCTTGCTGAAGGCTTTTTCTTATAGCTATCATCCACTCTGTAGCTAAAGGCATCCTGAATCAGTAGTATACCAGAAGATGACCACAGACTTTCCTGAACTCAACCAACTGACCCCCAATCACAGCTGATGTTCCCAGCATGTTATCTTTGCTGGAGCACAGTGAAAGTCAAGCACTGATGTGGCTAATGTTTTCTTTACTATCCCATTAGGAAGAACTACCAGACATTCCCACTCATGTTGAGCCCCAGGGCAACAATAACTATCCCACCCTCTGAAATAATATTTTAGGAAAGGACCCAAACTTCCTAGACATTTCTAGGATCTGAAAAGATCTGAACACTGCAACTCTATGCCAATAACATCATGTTAACCAGACCTTCTAAGCAAGAAAGGGTAAGCACTTTGAAGGCCTGGGTAAGATACTTGTCACCCACGGGTTGAAATAAATCCTATAAAGATTCAAAGGTCTGACACATTAATGAAATATCTGGAGCATCTTGACACACCTGTCCAGAGTAAGTCTCACATCTGCCATCTCTCCTATCTAGGAAGAAAAGACAGATGCCTTTTGATTCTGGAAGAAGTGCATTTCACTTTAATAATACGCTCTGAATAAATATTGCTGTTCTAACATTGTAAGAATATAAACATTGAAATGACTTGAAAAACCCAGCAAAGCAAAATGCCGATATTTAAATATGGACTGCAGCTGGGCTGAACACTTTCAGAGAATACATTATAACTGCCCAGATACAATTTAAATTATTAAAATGATTTTCAGTGAATTCATGAAATTTCAGATTTATTCTTGACCTATTTGTACTTCAAAAGAAATACACTAATGTCTCTTTTTTGAAATGTACTGATGAACTGCTTTTGTAAATATAGCCTTATACTGGTGGGAGGTGGGGAAGGGAGAAGACCCCTTACCTGGACAGCAGGTACCAAGACAATATTGTGATAGACTATAGGAGCAAGGAGTCCATAACACTGAGTCACAGCTTGAAGGGTATAAATGGAATCATTTAGGTAGCTGCTAAGTTCCAAGGCCACTAATATTCTCTCACATTCAATCAGTCTAGCAATCTGTAAAAAAAAAAAAAAAAAAAAAAAGTATGGTTAAACATGTTGAACATCAGAAGATGCTTAATTAATGTATATCTTAGAATAGGGCAGTAGATATGATACTTGTGAATGAACAATGGAATGTATGTTGGTATAAAAAAATCTAAATTTAAGAAAAAATCCAATACCTAATAATCAAATATATGGTTAACACAGTCTTAGAATTAAACTTCAGGATTTTTTTAAAGGTAAGTTACAACTGAGTGCTCCCTGGTGGCGCAACGAGTTAGGATGCAGCACTGCCAGCTGGATGCAGCCACTTCGGTGCAAGTTCGATCCCCTGTCCTGGAAGTGATCCACATGGCGCAGCAGACCTCTCCTGTGGACTTCATTGATCTGCCTGTTCTGCTCCCCACTCTGTTTCTGGTGAAGCCTCTCACTGCCCCTGCACCTCTGGACTGTACCCCAGTTCTGTATGAATGAATACATATATCTTTTTTTTTATTAAGTTATAACAAATAATAATTATAATATCCCTGCAATATCACTGCCCCCATTAGATTAACAAAGTTTCACTTTCCTTTTGAATTTGTGAGAAGGTGGTAAATACTCAGTAGACCAAACTAATCTTCTAATATACATCTGCTAGTTAAATGAAAATGAGTAAGATATAAAGTTAAACTGTGATGAAATGACACAAAAAATAAGACTCCTATCTTACTCCTCCTTTCCCTTTTCTGGGGAAAGATTTCATTTTTCCATATAGACACATAGTATTTTGTACAAGTGGTAACTAGAATTTCCATACAGCAAATTGTCACAAGAATAAAAGGCTGGCATTCTGGAATTCACTGAAATACTTAAAAGATTGTCTTTAATTTTAGACTGAGTACTGAAAGAAAACGGAATACAATAGTACGACAGTTTGACAGCTGTCCGTGGTTGGCCTCTACAACGCTGTGAAATTGTCTTCAGCCGAGGGTCATGCTTTTTCATTTTCATGCCTCAGAAACTGGCATGGGGCTTTCTCGTGGTACCAGGTTAAGTCTGAATACTATGAAGCTATCCACAGCCACTGCAGCACAAGTTCGATCCCTGACCAGGGATCTGACCCACCTGGCTCCCCTCAACAGTGTATTGCAATAGATCTGCCTGTTCTGCTTCCCACTCTAACTCCACCTCTGGCCTATACCCAGTTCTTGTATGTATAAATAAATAAATCTTCACAAAATAAAAAAGAAAGAAGTTGGCACAGCCTTGGGTAACGTTTTATTGGCTGATCGTTCATAGATGAGCAGGAAAAAGAACTGTAAAAATGAAAACCTATGGCAAAAGTCTACATATATCTAAGGTAAGGAGGAGAGAGAAGGAATAACGTACCTCAAGTTAGAATGAAAAAAATAATAACGCAGGATTGTTATTAAAAGCAAGAGCAGATAGACATCAAGTAACATTTGATAGACATCAAGTAACATTTAAAAAGAAGTGCCCTGAGAGTCTGTCAATAATTATCAAAAAGATGTTGAGTTGTTTGTTATCTGTACAGGAATGCAATATTATAATTTTTAGGAAGTGGTAATGTGGTATGCCAGAATGAAAATATGTCCAAGGTAAAATTTAAAACATAATAAAAAGACAAGTTGCAGAATAGCAGGTAGATCATGATGCCATTTTTTTTGTAAAATAATAATAAATTACACATTTTGTCTATGCATAACAACTATGTATATGCATATTTTTCAAATTGGAGATACCAGGTGGGGAAAAAAGGCATAGTATTCTTATGGGCAATGAATTACAATGGGTTTCACTTTATACATTATACATTTCAAATATTTGAAATTTATACTATTTTTGTACAAATTGAAAAGAAGGAAAAAGCTACTCAGACCTCTGAAACCTACAAAGAATATCAAGTAAACTAGAACAATCATTTCACAGCTTCTCAGTCCATTCACAAATGAGGTCATCAATCCCCAAGGCACATGAACTTGATACATCAAGAAACAAAGACAAATTGGCACGTTTTCAGTCATTTTTAATTCACTTACTTGTTGAGAGGGGAAAATCTCATTGCCTTTAATATTGTCACAAAAAAGATTTTCTTCTTTAATTTTAATGTCACTTGTTACAAAAATGCTTCTAAGAAAAAGGTATAAGAGGATTGATGAAGTCTCTGCCAAAATATCTGGATATAATCTGCAAAAACAAATAAATGGTGTTACAGACCTAAATATAAAATGGTTGAGTATGTGAACACACCCTTTTCGATGAACTCTTACTATCCACATAATGATCCCAAGATAGTAGCCAAAATTTGTGGCATGGTCTCTTTTGTAGTCTTTAAATTAATATTAAAGATGCTCATTAACAATTAAGAAAATAAAGGTGCTGAGGTTCTGTCTGAGCTGCATAAAAGTAAATATGGGCAGAGAGTTCTGGTTCTAAGATATAAAATTATTTTCTGTCACTATAGTGAGATCACTATATATATTCAGAAGTCTGTAAAACAGTACCAGTATTTTAATTAATGAATTTTCTGAAGACAAGGGCCATTAATAGTAAAATCATCCATGGAGAGAGCAGGATGGGAAAAAAAAAAAGAGTGAGAGATAGAGAATTAATAATTCTTGGGTCATTTCTAATTATCTCTTCTAAACAGTAGTCAACAGTGTTAGCCATCAGCAAAATGGAGAGAGCCACAATCTTCCTTCTTTGCTTCCAAAATTCCCTTTCTTGCCTTTAGTCTTACTTGGCAACAAGCCCTCCCCCACTAAATTCTTCTCAACCTCTCCTATACCTAAAAAGTAAGAAATACTCGACTTCACACTTGTAGGTGATCTGTTTTTACAACATGCCTGAACTCTAAAGTGTTCTTGACCAGGAGAATGGTGGTTCCCCACTCCTGCAACTCACACTCATCTTGGTCTTCAGGATGTCTGCCAGCACCTTGAAGGTGTGAAGAATGCAGACTACTGAATCCTCTCAGCTTCCTCCTTCCTCTACCCAGCTCAGACTCTGTTGGGTCATTTCCACCGTGATTTCTCTAAAACTTTCAATTCCACACCCTTTAATTTATGAAATTCTCCATTTGCTTTACCTTACAGAGATGTCACAGTCCAATTTTGGTATTTCTATTCAACTTTTCTGACTCCAAAATTTTTCTGTCAGCCACAACTGTCAATCGCTTGCCAATTCTCCTCATTCATCCTTGTTTTCATTCAAACTGGCATCCCCTGAACGCCTACTGTGTCGAAGACTATCCAGTCCTTAGTAGGCAAGACCAATCAAATGCAGCCCTGGGCCACAGGGAACTGAGGTCTGCTACAAATTCATTATCTGTGACATCAGTGGAGCCATTAGTACTTCTCAACAGCACTTCTCTTTATTTCTCACGTCACCCTGGTCACACTGCCCATAGCACAAGTCCCACTGTCACTGTGCCATCACCACCTGCAGTAGACACTCCTCCACCGGCTCGCTACCCTCCACCTCCTAAATTCTTTCATTAAGACTGCCTTCTTTCTAAGGTTTCTAACCTGTTTCCATTTCCCTTAACACCAAACTTCAAATGAGAAGTCTGTGCTTGCTATTACTCCCCATTTTCATTTATTCTTTACACAACTGCTTTAAAAGATTCCTGGTCTTCAGAAATCACAAAAATGACACTCTTGAACTCACCAGTGGCCCCTCAACTGTCAATTCTAAAAGTCTCCTCTTAGTTTTCCTTCTGCCCAACTACTCTGCAGCACTTAATTGAGCAACTACTAGCACTCTCTTCTAATGCTAGTAGTTTCGCTCCCCCTGACAGTGCAGGTTCCCAGACTTTCACCTCCTGGGCTCGTCCTTCTCTCTAACCTTCCTTGAACTTCTTAAATGTAAGCAATGCCCAGGGTTCCAGTCCTTCTTTTCTGCTAAACATTCATTCATGGGGAGATCTCACTCACTGTCAAAATTTTAATGATGACCTTAAGAGACAATTTTTTTTTAAAGATTTATTTATTTATTCATACAGAACTGGGGTACAGGCCAGAGATGCGGAGGGTGAGAGGATTCACCAGAGACAGAGTGGGGAGCAGAACAGGAAGATCGACGAAGTACACTGCTGAGGGGAGCAGCAGGTGGGCCAGGAGAGGTCTGCCACACCATGTGGTCACCTCCAGGGCAGGCGGGAATTGAACTCATGCGGAAGCAGCTTTAGATTCTCAGTGCTATGCTTTAACCCGCTGCGCCACCAGGGAGGGCCGCAAGAGACAATTTTTAATCCTATCTCTAAGCCTCCACCTCTCTGCTTTCTTCTTCTTACCCATCGGACCATAACCTTAACTCCAATTGACTTTTCTCTGTCACAAAAGTACCCAATGCATATCTGTGCTCTCTAGTATATGTGAAATTACCTTTGGAAAATATCAGGGTTTTTTTTTTTTTTTCCCCTACAACCTTCATTAAATTATATTCCGAAAGCATCCACATACCTAGAGAGTTTTTTCTGACTCTAGCAGGGAAGCTTCTAACAAGGAACACAAACACTTTAACTACTTCTTAGAAATAGTCTTACCTGGAGATCTTAACATGAAATTGAAAAGAAAAGAATTCAAGGTTTCACACACAGTATCTATATTTTCAGTAACAAATTTGATCCTTTAAAAGTATGTTCGTTACCTTCTTTGTGTAATCGTCATGATATTGCTTAAAGAGATCACGGATTCTTCATCATGACGTGGAGAAGCAACAAAATAATCCCAAACTGGTGAGAAAGCTTTCTTAGCCAACTCATAATTACCAATCTGATAGGCAACCTAAGACAAAAAGCACATGGTTTTATGCAATGTTTTTACTTGCGAAATGTTTATTTTAGAGAAGAATCCTATCACGCTGATCTCTATAATTATTCACATGTGTTATTCTGTTCTACAGAGCGACAGTCAGGTAACAACGGCCACTGGCAAGGGAGACAGGCACATTTTGAAGTCTCTTTTATTTCTAAATTGCATGGAAATTTGAAACTCTGTAAGGATGTTTCAAATTCTCATAAGCAAAACAAAGATCACATCTGAGCCAAATTAATTTCATTTCCATCTATCTCGGCAGCGTGCTCCATTTATTATAGACACTGTTATAATGAACAATCTGTTCCAAGAGAAACAATCAGATTTCCCAAAACCAAAATATGAAATATACTTCATTCTTTTCAGGTTCTGACTGACACTTTCAGAGTTTTTGTGCAACAAAGGGTTCACAGCTGAAAAGAGTAAAGAACTAAATAGAGATACTTTCGAGAAGCCACAATCCATTTTGATGTTAATGTATTCGACAGCAGACAAAATAACTGATTTTGCAGGTAAAACCTAGAAGTTTAAGAGAAGATACAGTGACTTACCTACTTCTCCTGGTAGAATATATTTCTTTAATGATATTTCTAAAAATCGTTCCACCTAAATATGAGTAACAATATGAAATCTCACCAAATGAATGGTGTGCTGTTTCAGTCTCTAAAGGAACCAGGCAGGATACAAAGTATAAACAAATTGATTGAATGAAAGATGTAAATGAAATGTTGCCAGGGTATGTTCCATCCAAGGGAATAATTTAGAGGGGCAGAACTTTTTAAATCTGCCAATTCAGTACTCGTAGTCAATCAGCCAATAAACTCCTGTGAGTTTTCTTTCTACTGTGTGCGAAGTACTGTTAAGATTCTTCCAAGTTTAAAATTACCTCATATTTCACAAACTGTACTCAAGTTACAGACATGAAATCATAGAAAAACTACAAAGAATAACTTAATAATTATAGAGCTCTGATAGGGAGAAATGAAGACTTCAAAGAGGACGGAAGCTAGAGTAGATCACTACGGCTGGGTGGAGAATCAGGCAGACACAGTTTAGACAGAATCCAACAAAAGGCCCCATATTGGAAGCCACCACCATGCCATTCAGCAAAGACTGGAAGGACAGGTCAACCCTGTGAAGAAAAATGGGCAGGATGATCGGGCAGGTAAAGTGCAAACCTGATTTCAGAGGGAACGAAAATCAAGTGAAAGCCTTTAAAGACGCCAAGCGCTGGACTAGGCACTTTTTGTCACTAGTGTGCTGGCTCTTCAATGACTGAGGTGTGACGAGGGCTCAATTACCCTTTTCCAGTTGAGGAAACTGGGACATGGAGAAGTTGAAATTTATACAGAACCTGACATTCAGTTCAAATAGTGGAGCTAAGACTTCGAGAGGTAAACGACTCACTTTCCTGAGCAACTCTGGTCAATAAAGGAGTTGGATGAAATCATCATATAATTTTAAGATTTTTCATGGAAAGTAATAACAGATGGTATGTAAGGGAGTTGGTGAAACTATCATGGAAGGTCCTTTCTCTTAAAATATATATCCTTTCAAAAAAACTATTACTTATTCAATTAGTGTCACGTCAAAATAAGAAAGGATACCATGATAAAACTAAGCTTTATTTATCAAGGCTTTATTTATCTATGTGCCTTGACATAGGAGGACTCTGGTACAGGCAGGTTCAAGTGGTATGCAGGGTATGTTTAAGAGGGAGAGGGGTTAAAATGAGAAAGGAGTACTAAAAGAAGAAGAAAAGAAGTACTTAATAGATAGCCTTCACTCGCCTTCCAGAGCTCCACTCTTAGTTTTCTTTTTACTTCAAATACCACATTTCTTTTCAGATGCCTTTGCAAGCTCCTCTTAGCCTCAAACTCTGTAAGCGTGTGACCCAGAGCTCAGACTTTACACCCCTCCTCTTCTCTGTCTCCCCTCATTTCAGCCCAGTGGCTTTCACTGTCACATGACCACTCTCGAATTCCTCTCTGCCTTCCCAAAACCCAGATTTAAACATCTGACTACTCAACAATTCTCACTAAATATGGACCAATCTTATTCTGCTATTTCTCAGTCTGAATTGCATATTCAGTATATCTGCCTGTGTCTGGTGAATCCTCTCACCACCCCCCACACATCTGGTCTGTACCCCAGTTCTTGTATGCATAAATAAATAAATCTTTAAAAGAAATATAATTTCATGGTCGGCATCACCAACCCACCCACTCACCTCTCACTTCTCTGACCAACCCTTTCATTCTCCATGAGTTCCTCTGCTCCAGACAGAGCCTCTTGCTGTGAATGAAGCATACCAGATGCATTTTTGGAAATCTTAGAGCTTTGCTCTAGCTCCTTCTGTAGAATGCTCTTCCTCTAAAAGCCTCTCCCCCTCACCTCTTCCAAGTCTCTGCTCAGATCTCACCCGCTGGGTGTGGTCTCCGCAAACATGCTATGTTGCTCTGTACCCTACTTTTCATTCTCCACTTTACATTTCCAGTTCCTCTTACTATACTCTACCATCTCATTCTATGGAACTTACTTCCCAATGTACTACATAAGTCCCTGTGTTCACTGTTTTTGTTTTTGTTTTTTTGTTTTGTTTCGTTTTTTAAGATTTATTTATTTGTGCATACAGAACTGGGGTACAGGCCAGAGGCTCAGGGGCGGCGAGAGGCTTCACCAGAGATAGAGTGGGGAACAGAACAGGCAGATCAACGAAGTACACTGCTGAGGGGAGCAGCGGGCGGGTCAGGAGAGGTCTGCTGCGCCATGTGGTCAACTCCGGGGCAGGCGGCAGGCGGGAATCGAACTCATGCGGAAGTGGCTTCAGATTCTCAGTGCTGTGCTTTAACCCGCTGCACCACCAGGGAGGGCCTGTTTTGTTTCGTTTTTTAAGATTTATTTATTTGTGCATACAGAACTGGGGTACAGGCCAGAGGCTCAGGGGCGGCGAGAGGCTTCACCAGAGATAGAGTGGGGAACAGAACAGGCAGATCAACGAAGTACACTGCTGAGGGGAGCAGCGGGCGGGTCAGGAGAGGTCTGCTGCGCCATGTGGTCTCCTCCGGGGCAGGCGGCAGGCGGGAATCGAACTCATGCGGAAGTGGCTTCAGATTCTCAGTGCTGTGCTTTAACCCGCTGCACCACCAGGGAGGACCGAGATTAATCTTTTTTTAATAAAAGATTAATTTATTTATGCACACAAGACCTGGGGTATAAGCCAGAGAGATGCAGAAGGTGAGAGGTTTCACCAGAGGCAAAGTGGGGAGCAGAACAGACATATCTACTGAAATACACTGCTGAAGGGAGCAGCTGGCAGGTCTGGAGTGCTCTGCCGTGTCATGTGGGTCACCTTCCTGGCTGGGGAGTGAACTCAGGCTCCAGTGACTGCCAATAGCATCATAGTGCTGTGTATTAACCACTGAGCCACCGGAGGACCCTGAGATTAATCTTTTCTTTGCCAATCCCATCTTCTTCCAAGAAAGGGCATCTCAGGAAGGCTCAGTGACTTACACAAGGTTACTCTGGTAGAAGATGCAGCCTTGGCACGAGAACCAGCTCATGCGCTCCTCCAGCTCTGTCCAGGCTGTAAGGGTGTCATGCATTCAACCTCTTAACACCTGCCAAGTTCTGTTAGCACCTGCTTCTCCCCCATGTCTTCTCTGCTTGGGGGGCGGGGGGTTGCACATCAGAGTTTGGTCAGAATTGGCAGTAGAGTTTGATGTTTTGTCAGTTATCACAATGGTGACAAGAGAGAAGAAAATGAAGTTCATACATTTTTTTCCCTCACTTCATATATGAATCCATTGAAACTCTTTGATTAATAGAGGTATTATTTTAGTCTAGGACCATTCAAATTAAAAAAAAAAAAAAGAACTTTCCAGCTAAAACATAATCATCTCTTCATTTCTAAAGTTCATTAAGAAGCTTCATTCATTCTTCTCATTTTCTAACTGAATATTACTATTATCTCTCTTCATTTATTTAATGTTGATTTTATGCCAGATCTTATGCTAGATGTCATCTTTCATCTGTCTTTTGTATTAATCTTACTACCATAACAATAACCCTTGTTTAGATGACCTTTGACTTTCAGTTTTAGTGTAGACACTGATGCAAATGAGAACCAGCCTGGTGGAGACCTGGGCCTGTGAAGGCCGCAGAGGCCACGCAGCTCTGGGCCTCAGACTTTGCATCTCTGCACCTGCTTTCTTTTTTTCTCTCCAGTGACTAATTTTCTTTACTTTTCCATCTTTGGTGGAAAAATGGCAGCTCCTGAATTTTTATCTATCCCTCAATTTCAGTTACAAGCATAGACCAGCTAGATGGCTTATAATCTGGATTCCAAATTCCTGGGTAAGCAAATCTGATTGGCTCACCCAATGTAATAAAGAATTTGTCTTCATTGTTGATATGTGACATCCTTGTTTTAAACCTCATCCCTTTTTTTCTTATTTTGGTTGCACATCTGAGCAAGCTTGAGTGGGACATCTGTGAACTCACCTTCATCTTTGGTGCCAGGAGGAAATTTACAACTTCCCACTAGAAGGAAGTTTCCCAAGTCCAACCTCCAAGCCACTGATTAAAGCCCAACATATTTTTCTGCATTATCCAAGTCAGACCTGCTTGTACCTGCCCAACTCTCCCTGGGAATCTTTGCATGAACAATAGAAATGTTTCTCAAATTCTCCTGGTGCCTGGAGTGTCACCAGCTTCTACTTTAGAAGCAAACTCTGGGTAAGGAGTTCATCTTACTTTGATGGGAGGCTATAAAACACACAGCTGGAGTCAGACGCTCGTTCCTGGACTAGTCAGCCACGTGGATAGTATAATTGTCAGGTGTCTTCTGGGGGTAGAAGGAAATCATCAGGAAAAAAGGATTTTAAAAATCATCTAACACATTACTACTGAGTGCTTATTCTGTGCCACATTTGCTCCAGGTTAATGACCCTAAACCTTGAGTGTGCACAAGAATGAGTTGCAGTGCTGCTTAAAAATATTGTGGGTCCCAGGCGAGAAAATAACAAAAATAATGAACAACCATAGACCAGAGACATTCTGTGGGGGCAGAGTGGGGAATGGGATCAAAAACGGGGGGGAGGGAGGGAGGGAAA